CCTCGTCCAGCGGAAGGAAACCACACCACTCGCCGGGTAGGGGTTCCTCCCGGCGGTGTGACCTCGGCCTCTCTAGGCCGAGGGGGAAAAAAAAGAAAAAAAAAGAAAAAGAAAAAAAAAGAAAAAAAAACAGGAAAAATGGGGCCGTCCCATTGTAGGACCCATGCCTGGGTCCTATGGGACGGCCCAGGTCCTAAACGCATATAAATATGCGTTTAGGACCTAATGTTGGGCGTGCAGGCCTGCACGCCAACTGCAGGCCAACTCCCCTGCAGCAGATTGGCGTGCAGGCCCGCACGCCAATCTGCGCCTGGCGTGCAGGCCCGCACGCCAATCTGCACCTGGCGTGCGGATTGGCGTGCGCCATGGGGGTTGGCGTGCGGTTATCAACCCCCGTAATAATGTCTCTATATTATGTACATATAAAATAGACATTAATTACATATGCTATGGGGGTAGTATATGTAATAATGTCTCTTTAAATATTTTTATGCTATGGTCAGGTTGTCTCTAAATAGTAGCAGGCTGACAGAATGGAAGCCGAATCAGCCCGCCACAAACTCCGATCCAGCCAATCTCATCCGTCCACCAATAGGTCGCCAACTCCTGAGAGCGAGATGTCTTACTCTAGTCTCCCATCACCCAAAACAGTCATAACCCGCTCAACATCCATAGTTACACGTTTGGCCTCTGCTGTGTCCTCTCAGATGTTCACAATGGACGACTCTACCAAACAACTCAGTAAGAATATTCCTGGCCCACTCAATCCGAATAAGGTGATACCCACTGCGTCATCTATCACCTCCCGACATACCACTGCCAAGCCCACCTTGTTCAATGTCTAAAGAGATGAAGGAAGAGGATGGCATCGTTGTGATCCGGGTCACTCCACCTTGTAAGTTTTTTCCATAAGACAATATCTCTCGGTGAGGCTGGCTGACATTGAGTGACTAGGGCGAGCTGAGGCAATCCCACTACAAGCAATACCGATTTTGCCCCAAAATTAAATGGCAATTTGGGTGGGGGAAAATGGATCAATTTTCTGGAAATTTTTTCCAAAATTCCTCAGGAGTAGAAATTAGGCTAAACTGAGCTATTTTAGCCCAGAGATAGAAATTCATCAAACATTCCAAAATGAATTTTTAGCTCATTTGGGACATTTTCATTTTCGGCTAAAATAGCTCATTTTAGCCTAATTTTTTTACTCCTAAGGCATCTTGTAAAAAAAGTGCCAGAAAATTGATCTATTTTCCACCATCCAAATTGCCATTTTTCCTTGGGGCAAAATCGGTATTGTTTGTTGTGTCCTGAATCCAAATGATCTCTCATGGGACCGCTTTGGGACGTTAGAGACCTCATATTGGGACCGAGGATCCAATGACTCTGACTGGGTGGATGGTGTTCGGTACCAGCTGGAAATGGATGGGTTGATCATGGTCCAGAGAATTTGTCTTTACCGGGTGGATTACAAAAAATGCTTCAAACTCAAGCCTGGATCTAAGGTCATTGCGGCGGAGATTCTCAATTCTGGGACCGTATTCCAAATGGTGGCCGAGTACGAACGTCAAAAGATGGACTTGTCGAAAGAAAGCTATTCTATATGGCCCAACTGCATAATGCGCTCATACGCTGCCGCCAGGCAATTTTTGGCCCAGTTTGCCCACGCTGTCAAATCGTCTGATGACTGCAGCACCTCTCAAAAGCAATTGGCAGCAAAGCTTAGGGTAAGATTTCATCCTTTTTTATTTGATGCATCATGATACCAATTTTGAATTCTCTCGGTAGATTGTTGATAACTTTCCAGTCCATCATGACTTCATGAATCGTGGAAGATCTGGAGACCCTTATGTCGAAGGGCAAGACGACGATATGTTACCTGCACGAGAAGACACACCTGAATCATACTACGTAGATGGTCCCCACGATCCGGAAGAAGAGCCATCCCGCGTCTTTATAATGGAAGAGCATATTGAAGGTTATTCAACCCTTTTGTCCGCCGCCACAAAAGACTACTATATCAGTAACCACTCCAAGACCATCGACTTGTTGTTACACTCTTTTCAACACTGGGTCCATGCGCACACCAAAGGTCAGATGACAATTACCAACTTCAAGGGAAATCCTCCGCTAATAGCTAAACCACAAATTGTGGATTTGAACAATAAGTATGGAAATTTCTAATCTCCTCTGTGAATATCATCATTTTAACTGACACATCATGAATGTCAGGTCTTATTGGCATATCCGTGATAAATCATCACAAATGATCACGGATTTCATTCAAAAACACACCTGCACTAAAGTGTGTAAATCCCTCTCCCTCCCTCAATTGTGCCGGATTGCGTGGCCTCAGGGAACTCATCAAGATGGAAGCAATTCACACCCAAACCCAACTGCCGGGACTAGCCGGAAACCCCATGGTATTGTGGAACAGGACATGGAGCTGATTTCGGTTGTGAGGAAAGGAAAAACCGCTCTTAAGGCTTGTCTAGAATGAATGGAAAATTGTATGTGTATATAGATTCCTGTTGGTCAGTGGTGCCGGGTTGATGAGGGAGTCTCAGGCTTGGTCGATGAAGGCCTCATCACCCAAGGAGATCACATGTCTCTTTGCACAATAAATGTCTCCACATATAAACACAGTTCATTAACTACAACAATGGGTCTTTACTGTACTCTACGATAACCAGCCCCTTTTGTTATAGTAAATGTATGCTTGACCACCCGTTACTAATACCGGTACTAGTAAAGGACCAAGCCCCAAGCAACTAGTATAGTATTGAGGCACCCATTTTTTGGTTGCTTCATACAGATATAGTTATAGGTTTCCGTTTTACCCCTGGTTAACACAATAACCAACTACACCAGGGGCAAAAGGCATAAAAAAGCCCTAAGTTGATGACAGCAGGCCTTTGGTGAGCTATCCCCTGCTTATATGTGGGACATACCCCTGCTAGCATCCCCAGGACCCTTATTCCAGATACTAGAAGCAGCATGGCCTCACAAACTCCAAAATCCACTCAGAATGACCCCTCCAGCGGTAAAAATACTGAAAGCTATTCTACTGATCACTCTCAGACTCAACGACACCGCTCATCAAGAGCTTCATCTCTTGTCATTGCACCAAAAATGGTGGCACCATCATCGGACTCGCGGGTGAGATTAACACGGCCGGCTCCTCACAAACGTCCTGCGGAGGCAGAATGTTCATCCAATTCCAAATCAGCTGTTGCGATTCAGTCTTGTTCTGAAGACAACAGGGAAAAAAAAATAGTTGTTTCCGTCTTTGTTATTGCTCATGGGTCCATTTGCTCAGTAACCAAAAAAAATCCCCATATCTCAGTTATTGTATCGAAAGCAAATAAAACAAAAGCCACAAACTGGGATATCGTAAAGAAAAATCCGATACGGATTGCGGTAAAACCCGTAGGGTTATTGAGTAAAAAAAAATACTGTAACGGTACAATACTGATATCTGTAAAGTAAAGACCCATCGTTGTTAACTATGATGATCAGTGATATAATAATCAACAAACTTTGTCAATTTATCGGAACTTTATTGCTAGTCCAATTGCAAATCATTGTTAACTATAGCATCATCAATGCATATGGGTTGCAGGCCTTGGTCGATGAAGGCCTCATCACCCAAGGAGATCACATGTCTCTCATAGTACAATAAATGTCTTCACATATAAACACAGTTCATCTCCAGAGTTTATGAGGTAAAGAGATGCCCACGATGTGCATCAATTTACAAGAACTTTATTTTTAGCATGTTTATGGGTAGCAGGTCTTGGGGGATGAAGCCCTCATCCCCCAAGGTTTTAATTTGTCAACGTCAGATGGTTCAATGAATGGCTGACACTCATGGGTTAAGTTTCTGAGTGAACTACATAGACATTCATCCACTGAGTTTATTAGGACACTTGCCTCAATGCAACTGAACTTTATTGCCGGTTCAATCTGTAATATATCGTTTGTGCAGGCCTTGGGAGATGAAGGCCTCATCCCCCAAGATCTGAACTGTGTAGGCTGGGTTTTCATGAAACCTCCATGACCCTCAATGAAAATGGGGGTCTAGTTAGACGTTTGTCTAACAGCCCCCTCTGGCTACCCTCAAGCGCTCCTTTTTCCGAGACACCCAACCTTTATGTTCAGCTACCCTCTCATGCACTTGTTCAACACTCGCGGCTGCCCTCTCCAGCTATCGATCGACCAAACCTCCAGTCTATTCCTCATCTACACACCCAGCTACCCTCACAGCCCCCTCTAGCTACCGACAATCGCCCAAGTCCTCAGCTACCCATCTACACTCCCAGGTACCCTTCTCAAACGATCGTGTGATGGGACAACTCCTCTCTTCCTCATCTACACACTCCCAGCTACCCTTCTCAAACGCTGACGACCCCCCCTCTTTCTGGTTGTGTAGCCTGTAGGGTAGCAAACCACCGGAACTCGTTCCGATTCCAAGTAAGTGGATGGCCGACATCGTCAGCCGTTTTTTTTTTATCTTTTGCATAGATGTGGCCTCTGCAGCCACTACCATCAACGATGGTAGTGGCTCAGAGGAGGAGGGGGCCTCAAGCTGACAACCCTCCCCCTCTTTCTGGTTGTGTAGGACAGCGAACAACCGGTACGATCTTTTGGATTGTTCCGATTTCAAGTAACAGCATTCGACCGGAGCGATCATTTGGATCGCTCCGCCTTCAGGTGAGTGAGCGGCCGACTTCGTCGGCCGTTCTTTTACACTTTTGATCTCTTCTGGCCTCTGCAGCCACTACCATCACCTATGGTAGTGGCTCAGAGGAGGAGGGGGCCTCAAGCTGACGACCCCCCCCCCTCTTTCTGGTTGTGTAGGACAGCATTTGACCGGAGCGATCATTTGGAACGCTCCGCCTTCAGGTGAGTGAGCGGCCGACATCGTCGGCCGTTTTTTTTTTTTCTTTTTTTTCTTTTGCATAGATGTGGCCTCTGCAGCGACTACCATCAACGATGGGAGTGGCTCAGAGGAGGAGGGGGCCTCAAGCTGACGACCCCCCCCTCTTTCTGTTTGGATACACTGAACGATTGATAACGAATTCGCCCCAGTCTCACTTGTCGTTTGGCTACACTAAAGAATTGCTATCGGTCAGAAAGCCCGATCATTGGTTGCTAGCTCTTTCAAGAATCCTCTCCGCGCGTCGCTGGTAAGATCTCTTCCGAGTTTGTTCATTTGTGTATGGCTAACCTTGATGATTGCTTATCTTTTGATTCTCTTTCTGCTGCCCTAGACTCTCACTCATCAAGCCGCAACCCTGAAGAATTGCTCGCTGCAGGATGGCCCATAACAAACGGTATAAGTTTTGTTGGGATCACCGTGGTGTAGCTGGCTTACTGACTATGCAATTTTCGATTCTGCTTGATTCCCTCCTTGAATTCTAATATGTGACATGTATGGGATCCCAATGTATGAATAATTTGGGGACTTTGAATTGATCATATAAGAAAAAAAAATGAATCCAGGAAACAATCTCAACACAAGAACAAACTCCTACGTGAACGGCGTGAGCGAGCCTCCCTAGTGGAATCGGCCATTGGTCCTTCTGGCCGAAAATTCTACTGGCAGAATGTGAAATATGAAGACCTGAACATCTATCCAACGATTCCAAGGGCTCTGGTTCGTGGTAAACTTCAATACACTAGACCCCCAACGTCAGAAGAGATTGCCATGGCCAGTGATACTGTCCAAACATTCCGCCTCTTGAAGACCGGTTGCAATATCGTACAAGACCCTCAAGATCCCAAATCAATCATTGCAATTATCGAATTCACCAAATTCTCCGATCTCACGGAAGCGGATAGAGAAGAGCTCAACTTTGTGTCCACCTTTCTCCGCAAGACCACCCGATTTATCAGCAACGTCAAGTCTAAACAATGCGCATGGGGTGGGAAGATGTGGGGGATTGGTGGGAGGAAATCCTCAGATGAAGACCAGATCGCCGGAAGATACATCAAGGCGTTTGAGGCTGTGCATGCTCAAGCCTACCATGATCTTTTCTCACTATCTGGTCGAGTAGGTCAAATTGTTGGTCGAAATTTCAAAAAGCTGGCGGAGATCCCTTTCGGCTCAAATCGTGACCTCATGGCTGAACATGGCCTTCCATCCTTGGCGGCTTTGGAATATGGCGAAGACCTCACAGAATCCGATTGTGCACCTCACCTCACCTTCACTACCAATGGATTCTTCAACCCACCTCATACTGACGACGAGGACGTCTCAAAATACGCTTTTGTCATGTTCCTTCCAACTCACACCAAGGATGGCTCTTTGGCCACCGATGAAGACTCCTACGATATTACGTCTGGTCCCTTCATTTTTCCTGACCACAAGTTTGGCATCAACTTTGATCACCAATTCGGTTTGGTCAAGATGATCTGGCAGGCTAATAAATACAAGCACTGTACCATGCCATCCTCTCATAGCTCCCGATTTACCCGCCTGGGTATGTCTGTACAAATCAATTTAGGATTGAAGAATGCATGTGTTGCGTACCAGCAAGGCAAATACAACAGTGTGGCCAACTACTTTGGAGATCATTTCTTTTACTTATACTGTAGTTGTCTTCATTTATCCCTTGTTGTTTGTCCTTTTCTTTTCACTCTTTTGTTTTTGTAAGGCCAATTGGTTTGATAAACTAGGAGATAAGGGCATTGAAAGTGATTCCTACTGAAAGCAGAACTATATAAAATCAATAGCAGAGAAAAATAAATCATTCTAGTTTTCTGAAATTCTGAATGGTGGGCCATCCGCCCACAAAACGCTTGCGTCCTTTTGAACATCATAGTCTGTCATGAGAACAATGTCCTCCCATAAGACCTCCGCAATTTTTTTAGCCGAAAATTCCTCCTTGAAAACCTTCATTACATGCTTCCAATCCATGGGATCATTGTTCCCAAACCCCATGCGAGCTAGCGTGTTGACCACATGTAGACGTGTATTACCAAAGTTAGACCAGGGGGGCTCTGGAAAGTTGGCCGCATTACGAGCTCGTTTGGTGACAACCATCGCGCCCCATTCAACCAGCATGCAGGATTGCCATTGGGCTGAGGACTTTCGATCCGTGGGGCATGAGAACATTGACACCGGGCCAATAACGAGTAGTTGCGATAGACATTGGATGGCCTTGGTAGAAGTTTGGTTCCTCTTCTCATGGGTATCTTTTTTCAGTAAGACAGGCTTCTCTTCACTCTTCCTGTCAAAGTGTAGGTTTATCAAGGCTGTGACTGCTAGGGCTATGTTAGTGTAGATATAGCCCATCCCTGTTGAGCTAACATCACCGATGGAGGATCCATCATTGACCGATGAGCGGGAGCGTTTCAGATCTTCGGCCCCTCGAGTGGTTATGTCATGGAAAAACTCCATGACTTTGGCCAGTGCAGCATCAGAGTGCCCATCAACATCCTTGAGGTTATCCATAACCATGTTGGCCCTCTGACCAGCAAGGAGCATGATTATATCGTGGACAGTGTCGTTCAGCCTTTTTGCCGCCCCCCGCACCGGATCGGCGGTGGAGTTGATGATTGGAAACAGAGGGTGTTTGGGCTCTGGGGCCAATTTGTCTGCACTGCGGAGAGACATTGAGGAAGTTTTTCCCGGCTTTTTCCTAGGGCCTAAGCATGCTCAATTCACAAAATCCGCTCCAATGAAGCAATCCCTCTCGTGTCCAAGGAGGACATTGTCTGCAAGTGTCTTTTGAGTCAGCATATGGGCAGATTAGTGTGACCTGTGGGAGGTAACATACCAGATTTACAGCGGTCAATGACAAGTTTGACATTTTTCAGCATTGGAGACTCAATTGCTGGCCTCGCAGGTTTTTTTCAACCTAGGAGACTTGGCAAGAGCCCGATTATACACTGTGTTTTCTCAAGGAATCTAGCTGTTTTACCAGGGTCAACCCTATTCTCTTTGTGTTGCTCCCAGTATTCAAGTGACTTGAGATCCCCAAAAGGTAGCCGTACAAATAGTTCTGGCCATGCAAAGAAACTGTTAGTCTCATCCTGTGTCCACATGCAGAAAGACCTAACCCACCTGGTGATGCCTCACGCAAGGCCACCTGCCCGTGTGTGGGACCTGCGACCACTTTTCCGGGGGTGGGACCGGTGCCCGCGGTTCGGGAAGTTGTCCCTCTGCACGCTGTCACGGGTGATCCACCCGTCGAGGAGGTTCGTTGATTCGGACCAGGGGCCACAGGGCCCCCAGATGGACCGGTGACAGCCGTGGCCCCAGTTGGACCTTTGGCACCTGTGCCGGACGGCCCCGTTGACGTTGTGCTAGCAGTCGCTCCTGTTCCCACCCCCCCAAGAGTAGTACTGGTTCCGGCTGGTCCGTCAATTGGAGGGCCAGCAGTTAGACTGGTAGACACATTTCCTGAGGTACAATCAGAGAAGTCCTTGCTGCGGCTAGTTGTCCCGGATGGCACAGGTGGTGTGGGCGCCGGCGGCCCCCGTTCATTGACCCCAGGAGGAGTGAGACTGGTGGGCAGGATTCCTGGGGAAGAAAACATGACCGCCTGGCCGCTGCTAGTTGACCCGTGTGGCGCAAGTGATGTTGGCCCCGCTGAGCGGTTGGGGGTGTTCTGAGCCAGGGGATTCGGGGATGGGCCACTTTGAATAGCCCCAGGAGTGGGTAGACCGGTGGATACTGTTCCAGGATTAGGCAATGCAATGGCGGGGATGCTGCTGGTTGACCCAGATGGCGCAAGAGCCCTGGGCGCCAATGAGGGGTTGGGCGTCGTCTGTGCCAGGGTATTTGGGGATGGGGCACTTCGAATGGCCCCAGGAGTAGTTAAACCGGTGGATACCGCCCCAGGGTTAGACAATGTGACGGCTGGGTTGCTGCTGGTTGACCCGGATGGCACCAGTGCGGTTGGAGCTGCAGAGGGGTGGGGCGTGTTCTCAGCCAGGGTATTCGGGGATGAACCCAGTGGATTGGACCCGGAGGAATCCTCATCATCACCCTCAGACGGGGTTTTATCCCTAGGTTGACGGATGTGACCAAACGTGGGCTCCGGAAGATCAGTCTCTCCCTCTTCAGACGCAGAGGATAAATCCTCGGAATCTGAAGAGGCTAGGCTTGATGAATCTAAACGGGGCCGGTTATTACGACTGGAATCACCTGTCATAGATTGGCTGCAGGATCGCTTTTTGCCAAGGGTACCAAGTGTGCTTGCATCTGGTGAGGGTCTAGGGTCGCCAGGTGCCGTGTGGGGGGAAGACAAAGACAAAGACAAATTTGGCGGGCTCATGCTCGATCTTCAAAGGTGAGAGGTAGGAGACCGGAGTGGTGTGTTGTCCTCTGAAGGCGGATTAGACTCTGGAATGAACAGCGGTTTATCCATGTTGGCCCCCACGTTATTCAAGCGTGATGTCCTTAGCCCATCCATGGCACCCTTGGTATTTCCTGATTCGCCAACAGGACCATTGTCAACAACACTGATGATCTCGGGATCAACCTCGCCTGGTGCATCATTGGAAGTTAAATCCATCTCTTCATCAGGATGGATTTCGTCTTGGCTTGAATCAGGGCCTTGGGCAGCCACATCTTCTGGACAGGCAAACATTCATGCATCATTAACAACAAAAATTCACCCAAAAATTGTCAGATCACTCACCGTCCATGGCTTCATGCTCATTTGCCATGCAGTTTCCCGGTTGTGGATGTGCGGGAAAGGTGGCATCATCGCCTAGATCTGGACCGTCAAACTCAAACACTTCGGTGTCGTGTGGCCTCCGGTCCCCAGGAGCCGCCAGCAAGAAGATCCAGTTAGGCAGAGGAAACAGTGGATGCACCTCCCGGAATCTGGTGATATACTTAGCCACATAGAAAGATTGTTGAGATGAACTCAGGTGACTGGAGACAAAGTGTTGGAAAGGATGAGGAAAAGAAAGCATCCCAAACACAACTGAATCCAGTATAAGAACTAAATATAAACAAGTGAATGTCACAGGATGTGACATGGTAGAAATGAAATCAGGAAGAAGCACACAAAATGAAATGGGATGTCACAGATATCTCAACACCCCCCCTTGCTAATGACTGACTTGAAATAGTTGGAAAGCAGAAGAGAAATTGAAAGAGAGAGAAGGAAGCAGAAAAATAAGAAATCAAAATCAGACAAGACCAAACATGAGACGGTGTTTTTCTAGCAGGACACGGGGGAGAGGTTTGGTGAGCATATCCACCAACATGTCGTGCGTGGAAACGTGAACGATCTCAAAAATCCCATCTTTGACGCAGTCGCGAACAAAATGATATCTGGCATCAATGTGTTTTGTTCTAGCGTGGTGTTCCGGGTTATTGGCAAGAGCTTCAGCACCTTCATTGTCGACATGGAGCGGAAGAGCTGACTTTGGTCGGACAGATAATTCGGTGAGTATATTGCGCAACCAGAGACCTTCCTTGCAAGAGTCCGCCAGCGCCTTGTATTCCGCTTCGGTACTGGACAGCGAGACAGTTGCCTGTTTCCGAGACTTCCAGGAGATGGCTCCCTCGCCAATTCTGTAGGTGTATGCCGAAGTTGAGCGACGGTCTTGGCGATCCTCGGCCCAGTCAGCGTCAGAGTAACCAGCGCAGGTAAGAGAGCCCCCAAGACGTAGTCGAAGTGATTTGGTTGAGGCCAGGTAGTTTAAGATTTTGACTGCTGCAGACCAGTGGGACAAAGAGGGATCACGAAGAAACTGAGATAGCTTGTTTACAGCAAAAGAGACATCCGGGCGTGTACACTGAGCAATCCACAGCAGAGAGCCAATCAGTTGGTTATAAGGGCCAGGAGAGGGGTCTTCATTGGCAGTCCGTTTGAGCAGGTCCTTGAAAGCTGAGGAAGTAGGTGTTCTGGTAGCCGTGTGTGTGCCATGGAGGAAGCGAGAGACCATGTCATCAATGTAGTGACTTTGAGACATATAGAGAAACTTGTTCTCATGATCACGTGTAAACTTGATCGAGAGAAAATGATGGAGGTCTTCGTCTGCGCCAATCTTGAATTTTTCTCCAAGGCTGGAAATAATTGAGTCGACAAAGGAATCTTGCCCCACAACGGCAAGGTCATCGACATGAACGGTTATGGCCCCCATGAGTTTACGATCGTGAACCTTGAAGTACAGGGTGGGGTCGTTGTAAGGTCTGGATATGAAACTAGAAGGAAATTCTAGTACTATTCCTGTCCTAATAATTTTTTGTTAGTAATTTTATATTAATTTTTAAGGTTTAAAGTGTATTTAAACTTACAAAAAAAGGGTATTGTTGTTTAAACAATCAAAGAAATTATAACCTCACAATTTTACTTGTTAAGAGGCCTAGAGTTGAGTTTTAATCAATACTCTGAATTCCAAAGGAGGAATTGAGGAAGGGTGAATTGTTGGTTAGACAATAGATCACAAGGAGTTCGTCCAAAAAGGTCTTTTGGATGAGTTGAGGATTCCTGGGCAATTTCTAGAGCAATACTTCTGCAACAGAAAGTAAGAAAATGGCCAATTTTAAAGGAATAAGGAGCTGGGATCTTTTAAGGGTAAAGGCTACAGGTTAAGGCTGAAGGTAGCAGTAAAAGAGGAGCTCTGTTTCGTGGTTGGAATGCTAAGGTTGATAAGAGAAATGGTTGGAAATGCTGGCTTCAAGTATATAGTAGTATATATGGTGAAGTGGGTGAATTTTCTGAGGTTTAAGCACTCAATAAAGGAGTCCTTATATAGCCACACACCTGAGGGTGGCTTGCAGTGCATTTTTTGCACGATGACACTGATGCTTTGGGCTTGTTTGGCTGGGTGTAAGCCATGCCCAAGGCCTTGGTTATCAGTATCCCAAAGGCTGAAACAGTTGTAACTGTAACCACGGGTACAGCTACCCAGTCAGGAAGTAATGATGCAATGCCAAGTTATTGCTAGGGTTCTATATGCCCAAAGGAGACTTTTTGTTTCGTCTCCAATCCATTTTGGAGGGATTTGGTTGAGGTATTCTGATATGTACTGGCTCAGAACAGGTTAAACTACTTGGGCCAGATTGAAATGGGCCAATTCTCAACCCTGTTGATTTCAAACTGGACCAGGGTTGTTCTGGTGGATGGCTGATGTAAGAGGATATTCTGAGTTCGCTCAGAAAGGTTATTAAGGTTAGGGATAAACAAAACAGGTTACATGACCAAGTGGCTGGTCAGGGTTCAGAATATGTGGTCTAAACTGGTTACTTGGTTATAGTTGCTGAGCTACAAGGTTGTACATGTTGCACAAGCCTTGGAACCTTGTTTATCTTGAGTTCGCATCCAATGAACTTTGTTTATGTCATCAGCTGATTTGGTTCTGTAACTTTAAATGTCTGTAACTCTTTAGTTATTGATTATTTTACAGAATTCTTTGTTTTTTGAGTATGTAGTTACACAGTGGTATGTAACTACATGAATTTTGTTTTTATTTTCTAAGTAAAGTAAAAAAAGTTTATTTTTATTTTTAACGGCCTTTGTGGTCATTTGCAGGCTTTTGACCATATACACTTTTATATGTAGATTTTTATGCTTAATATTAATTTATTATTTATAATATTTTTTCTTGGGCTAGTCTTGAGACTTGAATATGAGTTGTAATTGTTATTTTTATTATTTTATGTTTTGAGGCCTATGGGTATGTATATACCTCAAGGCTGACATTCACTACCACCAAAAAATGAAAAAAAAGGATAATATCATTTTTTATCTGATGTTCTTTTGTCATGTCTGAACCTGCGTAGGAGTTTGTCCCCTTCTGGGATTTCTTTTTCTGGGAGCCATTCGTCTTCTTTGTTAGAGTCTTTGTAGCGGACAAGGTAAAATTTATCTTTCTGTCCCCTGACTCTCTTCTCCTTGATAACTTTGGCTATGCTTCCCTGATCTTGTTTCTCCATAGGTGGTGATATAATTTCAGTTTCAGTTCTAAGGGGAAATAGAGATTTATCTGTTTCTTTATAGGGTTTAATGAGGCTAACTGGAAAGGTAGGGTGTTTCCTGTCAAATTCCTTGGTTAGTACTACTTCAACTGCATTTTTGCCATGTAGTGCTCTAATCACAAATGGTCCAGCAAAGGCATCTTTTAGTTTGCGTGGTCCTTTGATGTTATTGAAGTTGATAGTTGATACTAGTACCATGTCACCAATTTTAAAGTTGGGTTCTTTGTGAGATTTGTCCCACCTTTGTTTATTATATTCATGAGAATCATTCATACATCTAGTAGCATGTTTGCGTGCATTGTCAAGCATGGTTTTGAAGCTTGATGCAGTAGGATGGATATCTATGAGGTCTTTCCTAAGGCTATCTTGTGGCAATCTTGGGTTCCAGCCCTTTTCTAGCATGGATGGTGTTTTGTTGGTTGAACTGTGGACTGAGGTGCGGTAAGCTAGTTCTAAGGCAGGTAATAGTGTGACCCAGTCATGTGTAAAACCATCTGCGTCTTTGAATTCTAGCCCATATGCACAGAATCTGCGGACCATATCTTCAAGTGTTTGGATCATACGCTCAGCTAGTCCATCTGTTTGTGGATGGTAGGCAGTGGAAAAAGATAATTTGGTGCCAAATAAGGAGTATAAGTTGCGCCAAAGTTCTGAAGTGAATTTTGGGTCTCTATCACTGATAATTACTTTGAAGAGTCCTGTCCACGAAACAACTCTGTTCCATATCATTAATGCTGTGTCCATGGATGTGTCATCTTTATGGCATGGGAGGAATATTGGTGTTTTACTAAACCTGTCAACTATGACAAGACAAGCATTGTAATTATTCTGTCCTCCTGGAGGTAGTCCTGTTACCCAGTCCATGTTGACCACTTCCCAGGGCATGGATGGTTCTTCAATCTTCATCATGAGTCCAAATTTCTTACCAGTTGATCTGTTGGCTTTTTGGCATCTATCACATGTGGAACAATATTTCGCAACATCATCCTTCCAATTAAGCCACCAGGCACAGGTTTTGACTTTTTCCATGGTCCTATCTTCAGATAGGTGACCGGAAAATGCACTGTCGTGGCATTCGTGGAGCATAATGCTAATTTGTTCTCTGTCCGTTAAGACCATAACACAAGAATGCTTGGTCCTGTGGTAAAGTATTCCATCAAATAGGTGAAAACGTCCTTCTAGGTAACGTTTCTTCCATTCATCCTCTAGGCTGTTGGAGAGATCTTTGTCTTTAAAATCTTTTCCTAGAAGTTGAAGGATTATCCAGCAATTTTTGTCTTGTTTGTAACTGTCTCTAATATCATTGAAGAATTCTTCATTGAGGTCTGTTACATTGATACCCATTATTGGGAGGCTAGATGGTAAGTGCTCTTGGTCATAGGCAGGATTATCTACATTGTTTGGTAATGGCCATCTACTTAGTCCATCTGCATTTTTATGTAAATTGCCTTCTTTATGGATAATGGTCATATTTCCTCTGTATTCTTGGATTGCAATTTGCCAGCGTAGCATATGCCTGTTAGGTGTTTTCATGTTTAATAGTGATTTAAGTGCTGTGCAGTCCGTGATGACCTGGAAAACACTTCCATCAAGGTAGTAGTGGAGCTTTTCCAGAGCCCAAACAAGACACAGACATTCAAGCTGACTGGCACCATATCTTCCTTCTGTATCTTTGAGCTGTCTAGATATGTAGCATACTGGTCCTTCATAAGGTTTATCATCAATAATTTGGACTTGGTGTAATGCTGCACCAAGTCCTTCCATTGAGGTGTCAACGTATAGTTTGAATGGTTTGTCAAACTGAGGCATAAGCAGTAGTGGTGCTGATGTAAGAGCAGTTCTCATATCTGTATATGCTTGTACTCTCTCAGTTGTCATTTCAAAGGCTGCGTCTTTGCTGGTAATGACGTATAGGGGTTTGGCAATTACGGAGAAATTTTTGATATGTTGTCTGTAGTAACTTGCAAAGCCTAAGAAACTTTGCATTTCTTTCCTAGTCTGCGGTATAGGTTTAAGCATTACAGCTGCTACTTTGTTTTGGTCAATGGCTAGTGTAAGTCCTGATACAATGTGTCCTAGTGCTTTTAGCTCGTGGAAGCCAAAGTTACATTTCTTGAGTGATATTTTCATGTTAACTTCTACAACCTTCTGAAGAATTATTTGTAGTCTCTTGAGGTGTTGCTCCCAGTTATTGGAGAAAACAATAATATCATCTATGTAGATGATGAGCCATTGCTCAGATAATTCTTTAACGAAAATTGTGTTCATCATTCTTTGGTAATGTGATGGAGCATTCTTGATTCCAAATGGCATCCTCATGTATTCATATACACCGCAATGTGCTATGATTCTAAGGAATTTTCTGGACCTTGGTGTGACTACATTTTGGTGGAAACCTTTCAATGCGTCCATGCTAGTGATGTATCTGGCCTGTGATAAGCTGGTGAGTGTCTCATGGATGCGTGGGATAGGATACCTGTCCGGTATGGTGTATGTATTAAGGGCTCTGAAGTCTCCAACCATCCTTGATTTGTCATTATGCCAGGCTATAATCACTGGTGTGGTTATTTCTACTTCTTCATTGTGACCAATTTTCCGGAGAACACCCAAGTCAATGAGTTCTTTAATATGTTTTTCCAATGCTTCTCTGGCTCTAGGACTGGCTGGGTAGGCCGGTCTTCTGAGAAGTGGAGGGTATGGTTTTTCAATATTCAAAGTAATTTCAACTTCATGTCCCTTAATTGCACCTAATGGTTCTTTGTCCGTGGCAAAGGCATTTTTATTATTAAACAGCACTTGGATGAGACAAGCACGTTGGTTTTCATTGAGTTTTTCGCTGATTTTGCAGTCTATAAGTTGGTCATTCTCAAATTGGGAAATTTCTGGGTCTATTCTTCTAGTAACTGAATTGATGGACCTAGAGGCAAGAAATTGGAATTTTTTCCGTTGGTTATCATGACCAATTGTGAAGAATCTTTCTTTGCTGTTGTGG